ACAGAGGTGTGATGCGGCTGAAGAGCTCTTTAGGAAATCCATGGAGCAGGTCATGGAAACCTTTTCTTTTCTTGCGGTTGGTCCATGCTTCCCACAGAATGCCAAGTTGGACGGTGACATTCACTGGGGTGAGCACGAACTGGGCCAAGGTGAGTAGCCCTTGAAACAGAGCCCTGGCTTTGGTCTGCGGTCCAGCTGGCATGCCAGTTATGGTGCCCTTTCTGACAAGTGCTCCAAGTGAAAAGGTGTGTATGCAGAGGCCGAACACCCATGCCTGGGCAGCTGGGCGTGGCATCGAGGGTCACTGCCAAACCTTGCCATGGTCGTAGTGCAAGTGGCTCCAAGGTTTGCCAACAGCCATGTCCTTGGAGGGGCAAGGGGTTGTTCAAATGGTCTTGTGGTTCCCTGGGTATCCAACCCTGGATCCTCGAGTGGGTTCTCAGTCCATGAGTTGGGTAAGGGCTCGTGGCCTTGGTTGTGGCGCTACTTGCACATCCAGATGATGTGCTTGGGCGTTGCCGGTCCTTGGCAGAGCGGGCATGGTTTGGTCTTGTCTCCTTGCTTGTAGTGGATGGCTGCTTGGTTCCACGTTTTGACATGTTTGCCCTGGATGGCTGAGAGTTTTTTGTTGGCTTTTTTGGCAACCTCCCAATCCAGCCCACTGACAAGACTTTGGCAGTTTTTCTTTGCTGCAAAGCGGCTGGTACGTTGTTGCTGGAGTTCCTGGAAAAGTGTGGCTTCAATGGTGAGCCAATCATCGAGCAGGTTGATGTGTGCTTCCGTCATGAAGGCTGCTTCATACCTGGTCATGGAGGTAAGTCAAGCTGGCGGCCATAGGTCCCTTGACATGATGGGTGTTGTTGTTTGCTGAGCTTGTTTCTGAGTTGGAGCCAGGCTGATTCAATGTGCGGCCTGTGGTCTTGAGGCCAATGGTGCACGAGCTGGTGAAGAGCATGGATGTGCTGGATGACGATCTGATCACCTGGATCAAGATATTTGCTGCTGTGCTGGTCATAGATTACATCTGGTTGACCACCGTGATGCAGTCCAAGGTGTGTGGCCAGTGCGTTTCTCAGGCTCTGCCGATACCTTGGGGCCAGGCCTTGTCCTCGAAACCCCACATTGCAACCGGTTGGACCCCTCCCCGGTGTAGCCTGAGCCTGTTCTTGAGGTTTGGCAGCTTGAGTGATCGGAGTTTGATGCGCCGCTGCTTGTTCTTGTTGAAACGTTGTTTCAAGGTGGCGATGCGTCGCCGTCTTCCTGCTGAGTGGTCTATGCCAAGATCCCGCATGTTTGTATGGGCGGGTCATCAGGTGCCAATTGCTTAGCCAGTGCCAGCTGTGTCGTTTTGTCGGTGACAATGAAGGCTGTCTTGTTGTTGTTGTTGACCCTGAGCCCTGCTGCTCTGAGTTGGTCTCTTAGTTCATGCCAAGCTGTGACCACCTTTGTAGCCAGAAGATCAGCATCTTTGTGGCTCCCATCGAACCCGATGTCATCAACCCAGCCGTTAAGTGTCAAGTCTGGGCGTCGTGTTTGGAAGGGGGCCAGGATGGGCTGTAAGAACGCCTTGGCCAGCAAGGGTGCCTGTGGGCAGCCAGCTTACACCTGCATGGCGAACTCGAGGGCCAGTGGTGGGTACTGCAGGTTCATGGCTGTTTCCTGCAATCTTCTCAGGTCGATGGTGTCATGGAAGGTGCTCATGTCGAGGAGGACTGTGATACCATGGATGTCCAGAGCTTTGTTGCTTTCTTGTCTCAGTAGTCGTTCAAGTGCCACATATAGGGCGGTTGCTCCTGGTCTGGCTCTGTCATAGTCCATCTCTTTGGGCAAGGAGTTGTGCCACTCATCCGTGAGACCTTTCCGCAGTCGACACCAAGTGCGGTACAGGACGCTTGTGAGCGTAATGGGTCTCTCCACTTTTTCATTCTTTGCCAGCATTACCACCATGCTCATCTGTAGCTGTGTGGGAAGTTCTGCTTTGGCCTCCATGTCCTGAAAGTGGAACTTGGAGCTGAGTACTGTTTGCTGGAACTGCTCTGGATGATTGTTCCAATCCCCGACCAGGATGTATTGCCTGTTGGTGGCATCAATGAGTGCAAGGATCCTCGCTAGCAATTTGGAGTTGGTTGGCCCTTGCAAGTTCTCACTGGTTTTGAAGTAAACCGCAATGACAAGAAGGGATCGTGCTTTTGCTTCCCAAAGAAATGCTTGGTAGCCGCATCCTTCAATGTCGAAATTCTCAACCTTGGAAAGCCCATGAGCAGTATCGTGGAGTATCAGGATGCCTCCGTGATTTCCTTCGTTGTTCTGATTGCTGTGGGCCGGATAGCCGAAAGCATGGCGTCCTCTCACCTCGAAGTACTGGCACATAGAGTGGTGCTTCTGGCTATCCAGATGCGCTTCGACAAACACATGCAGTTCATTGTCACGACTCCAGTACCAGTCCAGTGTGTGTCGTCCAAATGCAGTGATATTTGCCACATGCAGCCTCATCTTGTCCTGAGTGAACCTTGCTTTCTTCGGAGGTGTACCATGAAGAGGAGGATCGTAGTCTGGAGTCTCTGGAGCAGGCAAAACGCGTGCTATCTGTCATGGTGTCACCAGAGCTGATGTCTGGATGCCCCAAGTATGTATGTATGTATGTATGTATGTATGCAAATTGCGGCATTCCGAAGGTCCACAATTCGTCGCCATCCGTACAGCACTCAAGAGCCCCCTCGGGTTTTTGGAAAAAGGAGTGATCACTTTCGCGCTGCCTCCTTCCGCTCGCTTTTCACTCGCATGGTAGCGGTATAGCCTGGTTAATCCAGGTTAGTGGCCACTGAAGCCCTGCGGCAACAGTGGAGATCCGGGGATGGAATCTTTACCACGGAGTAAAGATGACCGACCTTCGACGGGTCGGCTGAACATCTTGCGATGTTCAAAGAAGAAGCACTGGCATACCTGTTCACCCTCGAACACCACAAACGATACCTGGCAGGTCCCAGACTAGCTCAAGGGTTGACTGGTGTGGCCAGAACGGTGATTCGCAAGAAGTTGGCGATTGATCCACAGTGGCTTGCTCATCCGAGGGGGGCTTATGACCTGATAGAGCACTTGGAGCAGGCACTAGGACAACCAACTTTGATACAAGCAGCTCAGCACATACAGAAGTTCTTTTACCAGTTGAAACGGAAGCGCAATGAAACCATGACACAGTGGACCAGTCGTCACAGTGAAGCACTGTGGGATGCGTCTCGGGCCCTGCAGCGTGTGAACTCGGAACATGGCAGCGTGAACACTGTTGGGGGAAGCTCGAAACACACGCACAAGGCCTATAGCGACGCCAGCTGGGGACGTGGAAGTCATGGATCCTTGACTGCAGCTCGTCGAGATGATGCACTTCGAGCTGGAGCATGTGATGGGGGACCATTCGATGAGAATGGGAGGATGCGTGATGATGGAGAAGCCTCAGAAGCTGCTGATCCGTGGGCTCGTCGAGAACCGGCTCCCTCCCAGGATTGGGATTGGGACTGGAAGCGTTCAGAGTGGTCTGGATGGCATGGGAGCACATGGCACAGCGAGGAGTACGAACCTCCAGCTTCGTGGCATACGGAGGTGAAGGACTTCATCCCAGAGCACTTGACAGGATTCTTGCTGCTGCAACGATCTGGATTGGATGCCAGCGAACGTGCAAATGCTGGCAGCCATTCGTCGCCAGTTCTCAGTTGCAACAGTGGAAAGAGCCCTCAAGGAGCAATGGTCGGACGACGACCTCATGAAGAGGGACAAAGCTCACTACAGCGCCAATCTGGCTTGGGAGGATGATGAAGAGCAACTTTTGCTTGCAGGCGAAGTTCCACCCGATCCTGACTATGAGCCCGAAGCCTATGCAGCCTTCATGGATGAGCAGAATGTGATAGATTCTGCCCTGGAGGCCATCAAGGAGAAGAAGAGGACGCTGCAAGAGGCCAGATGGCGCCAACAACAGGTCCGCAGTGGACGCAAGTTTTATGGACCTCCCGGCAACAAGGGGGGTGGAAAGGGACAGTTTCGACATGGAGATCGTGACCATGGACCTCAAAAGTGTCTCAAGTGCGGAGGCCCGCACCAGACCTCCAACTGTCCAGTACCCAAGAAGCCTCAGGCCAATGTGACTGAGGAAGCGGAAGTGGCTTTCAAGGCACACCAGGAGTCGCTTTCGTGTGAGCAAGCTCAAGTGTCGGCTGAGGTCTGCGAAAACATTCGCTTGGGAAAAGGGATCATCGACTGTGGCGCCACCGCTACCTTAGGCTCAGTTGCCGCGGTTGAGGCCCTGATGCGAAATCACTGGACCCAAAAGGGCAGTGATGGAGTGGAGGTAGATGTGAATACCACCCCCACCTTTCGTTTTGGAAACAATGGAACCCAAGCATGTGTCTCCACCGCCAAAGTGAAGGTGGATTGTGGTGAGAAGGTTGGTGACATGTCGATTCATGTTCATGACTTACCCAACCAACCAATTTTGGTTTCCATCAAATCTTTGAGAGCGCTCGGGGCCGTGGTGGACTTCGGCCGAAATGAAGTGATCTATCGTTCGATTTGCCCGTTGAGTGTGGTTAGGCTGGAACAGGCCGCAAATGGCCATCTCCTCATGCCCCTGAGCGACAATCTTTTGGCAGGAGCCACCCGCCGAAAACAGGCTTTTGGTGCGCTCGGTGACGAATAGGGACTCAGCTCCTCTGGAGAAAATGGACATGGCGTCCAGGGGAGCACTACAGACAGTTTGAATGCATGTCGTGAGATCGGAACTTGTTCGGTTTGCACATTGTTATCCGTACAGAACTCGTCGTGCACTTTTTGTGGACATGAAGAAGTTGTGTATAAACCTTGTTGCGATAGTGATAATATCAGGTCCGTGCTTGAGTCTAATGTTTGTAATTCTGTTTTATCCCAACAGCAGCACTCTACAGCATCCAGCAGTGGACAGCTAGATTCGCCAAGTCTTTCAGCAAGTGATCACGCCGACCGAGACCAAGCAGGAGCTCATTCGCAAGATCGAGGAGCTGGGAGAGTCAGCCTCATCCAGCATGACGGTGATGCAACTGAAGGCACTTCTGTCGGAGTTGAAGACGTCAGCCAAGGAGTCGGATCGGTTTGCCCTTCAGACCAAGCTGCAGGCCTTGAACAAGGCCTCAAAGAAGAAGGCAACTCTTCAGGCACTGGCAGACGACATGAACGTGTCCTACACAGCAAGCAACACCATTCCCCAGATCTATGCGAAGGTCGAGGAGAAGGTTTCGATGGAGCACCCAGGCAATCCTTGGGACAAAGTGAATTTCGGAAAGCATGCGTTGGAGCGAGTGAAGGCCGAACTGGAACAACTGAAGTCGGAGAATGCCCAGCTGACCCGACAGGCGGAGCGCAGCAAGTCCCGCAAGGAGATGTGAGAGAGTTGATTGAGCCAGATAGTGATTCGGAGTGGCAGTCGTGTCCGGAACAGCAGTGTTTTCAAACTCACAAGAAGATTGGACAATCTTGGCTTGAGAATCGCAATCCGTATGGTCAAGTTTGGAATGAACTCATTCGACAAGGTCGTATTTTCCTTCTTGAGGTGGCGTGTGGGCCGCAGAGTGTTCTTTCAGAAGAAGTCATGAAACAGCTTGGACCGGACACAGCCGTTCGATGTTCTATTTGGAATGGCTATGATTTGACAACGACAACAGGTGTAAACAAACTCAAGAAACTGATTCGGGAGACTCGACCAGTTCACATTTGGGTTTCTTGCGACTGTGGACCCTACTCACCATTACAGAGGTTGAATCAGAAAACACCAGAACAAAAGCAGATGTTGGAATCAAAGAGAGAATACGCTCGTAGAGAGTACAGTGGAGGCATTGAAGTGGCCACCTACGGTCGGCGTCATGGTTCTCAGGTTCATTGGGAGCTCTCCGAATGCTGCGAAGCATGGAACCTTTCATGCGTCCAGGCCTTTCTCTCTCAACTAGGCCTCCAAAAGGTCACATGCAATGGTTGTTGTGTTGGCCTCCGAGCCCATGATACCGGAGATCTCATGTGCAAGGGTTGGAGCATTGCTACAACAAACTCTAGCCTGTTGAGACACCTTCACCTTCCCTGTCAAAGGAACCACAAAAAGGTAGTTTGTGAGAGTGGTAGGCCAGCACAATCCGCATACTACACTCCAGTTTTTGCGAAAAAGAAAAAGGTGGTGGAGGCTCTACGAGAACATGAGACATGGTCAGTTTTGGCGTGTGAGCTCAGTGAGACTACATGTTCGGAAGATCCTCTCTTTTGTGTTGAACCTTGTGAAACAGCATTGGTCAATGACGGAGAGATTTCAGTCGAAGAGAAACAACGGATCATGAGGCTCATCCGGCATATTCACTGTACAACTGGTCATGGTTCCATTGCAACTCTAGTGAACTCTCTGAAACATAGGGGAGTGCCTGAGAGGATTCTGAACTTGGCTCGCGAGTTCAAATGCGTGATTTGCGAGGAAAGGAAGCGAACCACACCGCATCGACAAGCAACCTTGGAGACAGTGGCAAAGAAGTGGCAGCGAATTCAGTGTGACTTGGGATCCTGGACACATCCACAAACAAAACATAAAGTGAAGTTCATTCTCTTCATTGATGAAGGATGCCGTTTCCGGGTGGGTCGCATATTGTTTGAAAACAGTCGTAATCAGGCTACTTGGCCCATTGTCAGAAAGGTGTTTGAAGAAGCGTGGCTTGCATCCTTTGGTCAGCCCGAAGAGATTCGCGCAGATCCAGAGGGCATTTGGAGGAGCGACGAAGCTGCTGCCTATTGCCAAGAACGTGGTATCATCTTGAGTCCAATTCCCGCAGAGGCACATTGGCAGATAGGTGTAGTTGAAGAGGCAATTGGGGCTCTGAAACACGTCATGACATCATTGGCACAGGATTTTTCTGAGATGGAGGTTTCAGAACTTTTCTACAGGTCAATTTGGGCATGCAATAGTAGAGACAACCAACATGGATACTCACCTGCACAACATGCCATGGGAAGAACTCCAGATGAATGGGGAAGATTGTTCGATAGTGAGGTCGAAGGTCATCCCATTCACCCCCAGCAGATGGTCGGTGGAGGTTTCAAGACAAGGCTTGCCAGAGCAGAAGCTGCCGGCACTCGGCCCTTGAAGTCATTCACTCCAGGAGATCTAGTGTTCTACTGGCGAAAACAAGTGCAGGGCGGTGGTGACAAAGGCTTCTCTTGGCGAGGACAATTCCTTGGCCCAGCTCGGGTTTTAGCAGTAGAGACTCGAGTAGATGATGAAGGCAAGCTTCGGCCCGGCAGCTGCGTTTGGTTGCATCGTGCAGGAAGGCTGATCAAAGCCGCGCCAGAGCAACTGCGAGCAGCATCCAGTCGGGAGAAGGCAGTTGAAGAGCTCAAAGGACCATGTGAGATCCCTTGGACCATTACAAGCTTAGCTTCTCATCCACAGAGATCAACATACTGGGATATTTCTTCAGAGGTCCCCAACAATCAACAGTGGCAAGAAGCATCAGAACATCCTACAGGTAGGCGGCGATGTGTTGGAAAGAGAACTATGGAAACTACAGATGCAAGAGCAGCCCGACCCCGACTGGATGAGCAAGATGCTGAGATGCCCGCAGCTTCAGAAGCAGCGCAAGTGGGAGAGGAACAAACTTTCACTGTGTTTGAGGTGACAGTCGACATTCCCAGTTCAAACAGGGGCTTCAAGAAGTTTTGTCAAAATCCAGAAGCGTTTGTGGTCAACCAGATCAAAAGATCCCACATAGAGGTTCGTGAACGGTCCATGACAGACTCTGAATTGGCAGAATTCAAAGAAGCAAAGGGTAAGGAAGTTCGCAATTACATTCAATCTCATTGTTTCAAAGTGCTGCCTCCAGAGTTGCAAAATGCAAATGATGCAGTGGGCATGAGATGGGTGCTCACGTGGAAGCTGGGAGACGATCCGGATCGTCCGCGGAAGGCAAAAGCCAGGGCAGTGATTTTAGGCTATCAGGACAAAGACTATGAGTACAAACAGACTTCAAGTCCTACTTTGTCTCGATCGGGTCGACAATTGTTTTTAGCCTTTTGTTCCAGACATCACTTCCGAGTCCGCAAGGGCGATGTCAGCTCAGCATTTCTCCAGGGTGATGAACTGGAGAATGGAATGCTAGTACAACCAACAAGAGAGATATGCGAAGCATTACAGATTCCGGAGGGATCTGTGACACAATTACAGAGAGCAGCATATGGATTGGTTGAAGCACCTTTATGGTGGTACAAGAGTGTCTCTAGCTATTTGCTTTCTATTGGATATACTCGAATGAAGACTGAACCTTGCATTTGGGTATACTTTGACAAACAACAAAAGCCGAGATCTGCGATCAGTGGTCATGTGGATGATTTTCTCTTTGCAGGTTGCGACGGTGACCAGGTACACCAAGAGTTGATGAGCTTGATTCAGGCAATGTTCAAGTGGGGAACATGGGAAGACAGTCCTTTTCTTCAATGTGGTGTTAAAGTGGTACAAGATGATCGGTTTGGTTTCACACTGTCACAACAAGACTTCATTGAGGGCTTATCTCCCATCAAACTTTCCCGAGACCGTGTTCGACAGCGAGAACAACCCACTACAGATCATGAGAAGTCTCAAATGCGAGCCGTGTTGGGAAGCTTGAGTTGGGTTTGTGGACAGACCAATGTGTTACACAGTGTTGATGTGAACTACTTGGTTTCCACTATACCTCTCAGTACAATTCAGGATGTGGTGAAACTCAACAACCTAGTGGAAGAGGTAAAACGAACAGCACCACAACTCAAGATACATTCACTACAAAAGGGTGAACCTGTGGACTTGGTTGCATGGGGTGACGCCGCTTGGGCGAACAGGCCAGACAATATAGCAAGCACCGAAGGGATTGTTTTGGGCATGGCTCCAAAAGCTCTCAGACAAGGATCCTTGACCAACGTCTCTCTGCTCAGCTGGAAATCCGGCAAGATAGAACGCAAATGCCGATCGCCGGCGTGTGCCGAAGTTCATGCCGTAGTCAACGCTGAGGACGAACTGTATCACATGAGATACCTTTGGTCAGAGATGCATTTTCCCAGAAGTGTTTTGAATACATTGGCAGCAGCTAAGATCGTAGCACTTTCACCAGGCATTGTGGTTACAGACAGCAAGAATTTATACGATAGGTTGGACAAAGACACGCCAACAATCAAGGGTGAAGAGAAACGAGCAACAATCGAGGCATTGGCTCTCAAGGACTCCTCAGAAGAATCAGGTACTGAACTTCGTTGGGTTCACTCGGACGCTCAACTTGGAAACTCGTTGACAAAACCCACAGAGAAGGGACAATTACAACTGTTTTTCAAGTTGGGACAGAGATGGAGGATCGTGTATGATGAAAACATGAGGTCAGCAGGAAGACGCAAAGCTGTTGGGATAAAACCTATGGATAACTAGTTCGTGTGTGTTTGTGGTTTTGTTTCTGTTTGACTTTTAAATTTAACGTCCACCAGTGCAAATTGCGGCATTCCGAAGGTCCACAATTCGTCGCCATCCGTACAGCACTCAAGAGCCCCTTCGGGTTTTTGGAAAAAGGAGTGATCACTTTCGTGCTGCCTCCTTCCGCTCGCTTTTCACTCGCAATGTATGTATGTATGTATGTATGTATGTATGTATGTATGTATGTATG